GGTAATTGGACAAAAGGGACACACTCAAGCCCCTAAAGAGACTGAGCCTAACGTTCACCAATAATATAATCCATTAGTTAACCAATGTGATAAGAGCTTTGATGACGTAGTAGCAATGGAGCACACTGCTCGGGCGACCATGGGCCAAGGAAAAAGGTTAGAGGTTGATACCACGGGCCACGGGGCATGGAGGTCCCAATGGCAGGATATATGGACAGAAAGTACGTCAAAGGAAGTAATAGAGAAGAAAGTAGAGTAAGTTCAATTCTAGAGAAGCAGTTAATGAGAGTACCAATCAATAGGTTAGGGAAAAAGGAGCAGGAACCTAAGCAACGATCTTGGAGGATTTGGCTTGCATGGTCGATAAAAGTCTAGAAGGTCAAGAAACACTTCTCCTACTAAAAAAAACAAGACAATATACTCCTCGAATTTCTGATTCGATGGTGTGCAAAAGTGGCCAAGGTAGAAGGAATGGACAAGAAGTTAGCAATTACTCTTTGAAGAAAACCAACATGGTTGGCGTGGTGGTTCACACCTTGTCCCTTAAACATGAGGTTGGGGGTTCGATCCCCACCCATGTGAATGGAGCAAACCATTTGGCCAGTCCCCTACCACTTAGTGTGCTGACCGTAGGGACGGGGGATTAGTCTTCTGGCTTTCGGCTGGAGGGATACCTTTGGGCAATCAAAAAAAAATTACTCTTTGAAGAAAACCCCAAGTCCAAAATTCAATCCAAAAAGCCAAAGAAGGATCTTTAGTAAGCTAGGAAAGAAATGTGAGTTTGGGCCTAGACACTGGGAGTTTGATGGTCAAAGTGTAAATAGGTAAATGTTCACCCCTAAATATTACTCCGTATATTTTAATTTAAAAATATTATATTTTACTCAAAAGGATTATTCTTTTCTGTATAAATAATAAATAATTTAATATTTATTAATATTACATATTTAATTATAAATATTATATTTTCATCTTAATTCAAGTCTCATGAATCCTTATGCCTGAGACGGTCTTAGAGTATACTCACCCTTTAATGCTTACCATAGAAGCGTAGAATCTTGGAGTTTATTTTTATTTTTATTTTTATTTTTATTTTTTAAGGCTAGAACCTTTGAGTATGGTACAAAAAGTAGTAGCTATTAAATCACTAGATGGGACACAAAGTTATCTTACTACAATTAGGGGGTGGCAATTTACAGTTTTTGATTTTTTTTAAAAAAATAATTTTCTTAAAATTAAAATTATTGGCGAACAGACGTTTTGCTTAGATTTTGACATACTACCAAACGCCGCCAAATTTGTTGGAATTTGACAAAATGCATTTAGAAGTAAAATGAAATTCAACTCGCTTGCCTATTAGCTATTACAATTTATATCAAAACTACTTACAAATATACTAAGGATGCGTTTGGTTACCACATGGAATCGAAATGTGAATCAAATACTTGATAATTGTAATGGATTTTGGTGAAAGTATTTTGAATGTTTGGTAGTATGATGGAATTAGAATAATTATTAATATTGATGTTTGGTAAAATAAAGAATTTAAAATTATTTTAAAAATCCAAAAAATTAAGACAATTGATCATAATATAGTGACATCCAAAGCACCAATATGACCAAAAATAAAAAATCTAAGAATATTAATTTAAACTTAAAAATTAGATTACCGGTAAGATGAAATGATACGCATTTTTAATTAGGAAATGAAGTTTTTAATTGAAGGGGTAATCAAATATCGTAGTTATGTTTTAAAAAGTTGTCTCAAACACTAACTATGATTTTGATTTTCATTCCTGTGTGTAAACTCATGAACCAAACACACCCTAAATACGTGATATAATAATGTTTCAGAGAAAATTTCAATTTTGGTCATATGACTATAGGGGCTTTGTTAATTTCAGCACCTGACTTTCAAAAGTGTCAATTTAGTACCTTGACTATGCAATTTTTATCAATTTTGGTCACTCCGGTCAAATTGCCGGCCAAATTTCGCCGGAAAATTTTAACTGTTAAAATAATGAGGATATTTTAGTCATTTCACATCTCTTTTGTTCTTCTCTGACGAATTCATCTTTCCGGCGAATCCGAGGATGAGGTGCGCTGCGATGCTTTCAACATTATCCAAAAAGAGAAGTATTTATTCAACATTATCAGAAAAGAGAATTATTTATTCAACATCAATTTTAGCATAATGTTGATATAGAGAAGTTTTAGAATAAATAGGCACCAGCATCAGTTTTAGCATTTTGCTTTCTTCTTCGAGCAAGTCTTTTTTTGGCCGGAAAAGCTTTCAACAGGAATTTTGACAGGAACTGCACTGGATAAGCACAAAGAGAAGTGCAGCTCAAAGATTTCTAGGTCCGTTGATATCTCAAGCTCCCCTTACACAAACGGTCAGATGTTTTCAACTGAAATTTTGGCCATTTGAACACTAATAAATCGCCGGCAACGGCTTGAACGAATGAGTTTAAGTATGCTTTGGAAGGTGTGCTACTGCGGCGGATTCGCCGAAAAAAATGAATTCGTCGGAGAAGAAGGAAGAGATGTGAAATGACTAAAATACCCTCATTATTTTAACTGTTAAAATTTTCCAGTGAAATTTGACCAGCAATTTGGCCGGAGTGACCAAAATTGATAAAATTTGCATAGTCAAGGTACTAAATTAACATTTTTAAAAATTTGGTGCTGAAATTAACAAAGCCCCTATAATAATATGACCAAAATTAAAATTTTCTCTAATGTTTCATGAACAAAAGTGAGTAAAATTATATAATCAAAATTAATGTACAAATACATAATCTTATAACTGTCATTAGAAAAAGAATTGTAAAAGTATAGAGAGAAAGTGAATTAATAATGCACTAGACTCCCTCTACTTTTCACCGCATTTTCTTTACATCCAGACTTGAAAAATGTCAAATCATGCTTTCTGCCTTTCTGGCAAGCAAAATGTGTTAAAAAAGAAAGAAAGAAAAAAAAAAAAAAAAAAAAAAAAAAAAAAAAAAAAAAACTTAAGAGCTAATGTTTTATAATAATTTATTTATATATGGTTTATTTGTGAACAAATTCAAACATTTATGACCTTCAAAAAAAAAAATTCAAACATTTATGAGTTGCGCTAATTATAACTAGTCCAAAAGCAAAAAGAATTTAATACTTTAGTATCAAAGTTTTAAAAGTGGGTATAATTCTAGCTAATTTATTTAACAAGGTAAAAAAATGGTTTTATTCAAATTAATTTACAATTTCATAAAAGAACTTATCAAATTCATAAAAGATTCCTTTTGATTCCAAGACAGTACATACTATTTTCTAAAAATAATTTATTTTCTTGGATAGATCAAGTTTTTCAATTTCATCATACTATATCATGAAAGTAAGTATTAAATAAGACTTCTCATCCATTAGACCAATGTTTTAAAACATAATTTTTTTTTCCTTTCATGTTTATTGACCTTTGTTGCATAAATTATGTGGTACTAATTTTAACTTAATGTAATTTGTAAATAATATTTTAATATTACTCGATGCACATTCTCTCGAATAGTGGTTGTGAATTTCTCTCATGTAAACAAAAATACAAATATACACAAGAAAAGCATGATTTTTTAAAAAAAACTTTGAATTAGTGTATTTTGAATGTAATATATGTTTAAATTAGATAATATCAACATTCAATGAATTGAATTTGACTAAATAAAAAATCATGGAATGAAATACCCAAACAAACAATTACAATTTATAAACACTTGCAAGAGCATCTCTATGAATTAATTTATACTTACAATTATTTAAACTCCAAGAGCATGTGTACATGTAAATTGACTTCTTTAGAGATCCATTCAATTTACCTTATACATTCTTATAAGAGCATTTCTATTAGTATGATTTTTGCACAGATTTTTAAGTGTCAACTAAAAGAGAAGAGTGGAAGAAAATAATTATAATAATAATTGACCACCCTCAACGCGCCCAATGGATGTTGCTGTTGCGCTTAACGCGCACCAGCTAAATTTTTATTTTTATTTTTGGGTGGGGCCATAGTAGGAAACAAAACCAGCATCCACTACAACACTCTTTTTTCTTCTATCTCCTCTTCCTCTTTCTTCCACATAAGATTAACAACCTCAAAAATTTACTCAAAAATCACTATTGTTGTTGCCCTAAATTACAACCAACCATCAATAATCCTATGAATACGCCATTGTAGCCCGCATGGGTAGCTCAACTGGTCATAGAGGTGAAACTTTGAAAGAATGACCAGGGATCGAGTCTCACCAGCAGCAGTGTGGGAGCAACCTCTCAAAGTGAGGAGGGCTCCTTGTGCGCAGTGAGCACCGGTCTAGCCTCTGTGGTTCATGTTCAATTGAGTCACCATGATTTACATCCTTCCAAATGCTCCGTTGGGCCGAGGTGTGGGGGCTCTTACCTTTGGAAAAATGAATACGTCATTGTTTTCTCGAATCTAATCCGTATGAATGACTCAGTGTCTAATACGTAGTTTTAACAATGATCCATATTGTTTTCAAAAAAAAAAACAATGATCCATATCTGATGATGATTAAACTATTACAAACAAAATTTTCACCAAAAGATAATATAGATGGTAAGCATTACTTTTTTTTTTTTTTTTTCTGAAAGGAGATGATAAGCATTACTAATTTATTTAAAATGAAGTGAAATATCAGCACCTCTTACTTTAGAAACATTTTATTGTTTCAAATATTTTACTCTTTGTCTCATTTTACGTACCCTAAGGTGATGTCTGGTAACACACTTTTAGAACCCTAAAACCCATCATACTAAAGTGACGTTTGGTTAGACACTTTTGGAACCCTAAAATCCATAATACTAATTATTTGATTCGTATTCTGATCTCAATTTTCATATCCTAACCAAACGCCACCTAATTTTGATATAAGATACAATGAAAAAAATATTTGATAATAACTTTAAACCCAAATCTACTTTTATTCAAATGTACAACAGAGGGGTTGGCTTCCCCCATTAGACAATTATTATATATACCCTAATGGACACAACCATATCTATTCACTTAAACTCCCAAACTACCCACAAATCTTGAAAGATGGTGCCTTCAAACTTGAAGACTTTTCTAGCTCTTGCTTTGCTCTTGTTGCCAATAGCTGCAAGAGGGGATTATGAATATGGTATACCTCTCCCCATTCTTTCTTCTAACTCTTTTTGAAACGTTACTTAGAATAGCTTTCCAAAATAAATTGTTATTTAAGCTCTCTATATGTTACCAAACAGAACTTATAGCTTATTTGTAACTTCAAATAAGCATAAACTCTAAAATAAGCTACACCAAATAAAGCCTATAGGTTCACCTCTGTGCATATCTTATTTGCGAGACGGGTCAGATCAAGATGGAAACATAAAATTATAAATATATGCAGTTATGTGTATGTTTTTGGAATGCAGAACAGGAGATATGCACAGAGGTGAACTGTGGAAAAGGAAATTGCAGGGAAGATAGAGGATACAACTACAACTTCAGGTGCAGGTGCGAGGATGGTTGGAAACGCACCACAATAAAGAATACTAACGAAGATGATTTCCAGTTCCTGCCCTGCATAATTCCTGAATGTAAGTTCTTCGTCGCGCATAGTATATATAAATAATAAACAGGTCATATACCATCAAACTTTACAAGAAAGTAGAATTAGACCTTGAACTTTTAAAAGGTGCAATTAAGTACTTCAACTTATTAAAATCAATCAAATAAGTCCAATTTACCGATAACTAGCAGGTTACCGGTAAGCATGTTGTTGTTGACCTCCATCATCGATAATAACCGGAGAAAAAACCAAGTAGCGACGACCCGGTCGCCTTCTCTCGTTGCCTTCTTCAACTGAGGAATAAGGTTACCGGCATTGCCTTCTTCTTGGACAAGGCGACCGGCACCGGATTATATTACCGTTGGGTGGCTGACAATTGGGCCTGAATGCATCAAAATGACAAGTTCATGTGTTTAATTGAACTTTTTATTAAGTTCAGGGGCTCAATTGCTCTTTCGTATAATGTTTAAGGGTTTATTTGACCCTTTTCCCTAATTCATATAATACTGAAAGACAAAAATTTATTCCTAAACCAAGAAACCACAAGTCTCCTAACCAGATTTGTATTGATTACTTATGCAGGTACCCTTGATTACTCTTGCATGCCAACACCTCCTCCACCTCCACCCCCTCCATTCAACTCTTCTGCCTTCGACCGTAATCCCCAAACACCTAAACAATTTTCTGCTGCAATTTTAACCTATAACTTGTGCAGTTTGGCTAACATCCTTTTGTTTTTCTCAGCTTGCTATGGGGTTTACTGTGGGGAAGGAGCATGCATAAAGAATACAGACTTCACACATATCTGCCAGTGCAACTATGGCTACAACAACATCCTAGGCATCCCGGTTTTTCCTTGCTTCAGTCCATGTAAGAACAAAAACCACAAAAGATATATCAAAATATATTCTTTATATATAGACATCAATATGACTGAACACAGTATATACTATGGTTTCTGTTTTCAAGGTGCCCTTGGATCAGATTGTTCAAGGCTCGGGATCAAGATCACAAATGACACCTATAGATCGCCATTTGATAATCAGGGTGAGGCTTCTAACAATTGCAATACAAAGAACTATTTAGATTAACAAAGGCATCATGAATCCGATAGGGTTTAAACGTGCACTGGTTTTTTATGTAAAGGGTAACCACCAAAAAAAAACAAAAAAACAGATAATGTTAAATCTTTTTCAAATTGTAATCACAAATAAATTCAGAATATGAATCAATCTGAAGTTGAAAAAATACAACCACTCAAAAAGGATAATAGAAATTATTACGAACCAAAGTCAATATATGCAAAAGTCATAAACAGTTTAAAGATTAGTAGCTATGAAGGTGATGGTTCTATAGACATAACTAAAGTAATCAAAGTTTCAAAATCCATTATTTTTCTTAGGAATGAATAAAAATGCGAGGAACTTTGAATATGAAACTAATCTCTTTACCAGTTCAACCAAGCTCAACTATCTGAAGCTTATTAGAAGTCAGCTCTAATCCTAGGATTTCTCAGTTATGGTTTCAGTAGTGTTCATAGGGAGCTAAATCTTAAAAACCATAAGGAACCATCAGTCATGTAAAGACATTCCTTTTCTTTATATTAGCAGCTAAATCAATTCTGCCAAGGAAGTCGCACTGGATAGCTGTACTACTGGCCTCAGCCGGTTTGGCTTTGTGGAAGTAGATCGATCCCAAATAACGTTGAGAAGCTTTATCACATAATAACTGATTTGCAGTGTTGCACCTGTGTTGTTGGCTCAGATAGGTATATACCACAGATTCAGTTTGTATAAATAAATATGAACAATATGTATGTTGTAAGTGGATTCTTGTATGCAAAATGGTTCAATAAAATGTAGCAGCTCTCAAATTTTACTAATGCCACTCTTCTCATTCCGTACCCCTTCTTTCACTTCAAACTCTCTTTATACCATATATACGCTATTAATCACACCTTTTTAGACTATTTAATTCTTACTATACACTTTGTCATATTCTCAAATATAGCTTTTGAGGAATGAAAACCCAATCAAATGATTAGACAACTAAAAACTACAGGGATTCTACTTAAGACTCTGGAATACCTAAATATTCCGTTCAACATTGTAATATTAATTCAACTATCTACCTTCACCACCTCACCAGATGGTAGTATTGACTCAAGCCACACACACACACACGTGTATATATGTATTGTGTTTCTTCATTAGAAACATAAAATTATAGTAATATATTGTAATCTTTCAGTATTATAACATTTTCTCATTCCTTGATTCTTCCTCCCTCCGCCTAACTGACGGGTGGTTGTTACTCTCCACCTGCCAGGCCTTTCGATCTTTCAAATTCAACAAATGTATTGATAAGTGGTAACAAAATCTCTTCCCAAGTAATACCCGACGCTGAGTTCAAAATTTATCTTCTAAAACACCTCCACGGAAAATTACCTCCACCAATATGTCCACTCTAGAAACAAACCAACATTGTATTACCACTTATGCTTTATTACCAAATACCAACAAATTCATAACGTATCCATCATTTCTTGTATTGATTCCATGGTCCAAATGTCATCTGTAGATTAATGTACTTATAACCATGTTTGATGTCATAGAGATGCTAACATTCACAATAAAGCAATAGAAATGAAATCCTCAATCTTCAAAAGGATTTTGCTCGTCCCTATTTCGGCTTGCAGTCTTGAATTTCTTCACAAATATCATTGCACAGCCAAATACCAGATTTAGAGATATAAAGACACAAAAGAGAAGTTGAAATAATTTGCTCAACACAAATATCATTGCACAGCCAAATATATCTGCAAACCAATACTAAAAACCAAAACTATTCTGCTTCATATTTTTCTAAATGCAGGCACTGATCCAAGAGAAAACTCAAGTGCCTGCCGTCAAACACTAGATCAAAACCATAACTTTACATAAACAATGAAAGAAAGAAGAAATTCAGTTGGCATAAAAGAGCACATTGTGAAAGCAAAAACAGAAAACGGGGAATCTCAGGGGTAACCCCAGCCAAGATGACTAAAGATACAAACTTGTAACCACAAGGTCACAAGGTCACAAGTTCGAATCCCAGACTTCTTGGTTTGAGCCGATCACTTATAGGTAACCTAGGCTGGTTTACCTCCTTGTGGTCCTTTGTCAGAATGCTGGCTAGGGTCATAAGGCGGGATTTACCCGTGCATACCCTCGGATAATGGTTGTGGGTTTCCAAAAAAGAACGCCGGAGTCTCTAAATGCAAAATGCTGATGAAATTTAAACTAAGAAAGCGAGCTACCCGAGGGCCGAGGGCATCTTCATCCTCAAGATCACTAAAACACTAAACAAATTTTCCAATTAGTGCACTTTCTTGTTCTTTTAACATTCACACTCTCATCTATAACCACATTATGATGCAAACCAATTAAGGAGTAATAGATAATTCAATTCACAATAAACCAAATTTTTTGTTTTTCTTTTATTCATACAAAGAGAATGTAATGAACTCATTTAATTCAATAATCCATTTGAACTATGATGTACCAAAAGTTATACTACAACATAAACTTCCAAAACTAAAAATTATAAAACAAGGCTAAAATGACTTGGATTCTCACCATTTTCACTTGCTCTTCACACTCACTCCTTCCTTTCCAGCAATGATCACAGCAGTGGCCATATCCAAGAACAATCCATGCTCCACCACACCTTCCAACGCCGAAATCTCCTTCCCGGCGGCGCGGGAATCTTTAATGGGAGTCTTAAAGTACAAATCCACAATGTAATTGGAATTATCCGTCACATAAGGCTTACCGCCGTCCAATCTCAACTTGGCGTCGCAATCCAATTCTCTGAACATCTCCTGGAGGCGGAGCAGATTGTATTTCCAGCAGAATTGGACGACCTCGACGGGCATTGCGAGACCCGACCCGCCAAGCCCCGAGACGAGCTTCGTATCGTCGACGACCACCACGAACTTGTCGGACGCCGCCTCCACCATTTTCTCGCGGAGGAGAGCGCCGCCGCGGCCCTTGACCAGGTCCAGATTCGGATCGACCTCGTCGGCGCCGTCGATTGCTAGGTCAAGCTTCGGGTGATCATCGAGCGTGGAGAGCGGGATGTTGAGGGAGGCGGCCTGCTCCTGAGTGCGCTTGGAGGTCGGCACGCCGACGATGTCCGTGAGTTGGCCGGAGGAAATGAGCTCGCCGAGCTTGGCCACCACGAAGGCGGCGGTGGAGCCAGTCCCGAGGCCGAGGACCATCCCGCTCTTCACATAGTCCACCGCCTTGTCGGCAGCGAGCTTCTTGAGGTCGTCCTGCGTTAAGGCAGGGGGAGGGGAGGGGGCGGAGAAGGCTCTGAAAGTGGGGGTGCGCCGCACGCTGAGAGAGGAGGGGTTGCTGCGCTGGCGCGGCGGCATAAGGGAAGGTGTGCGTAGGGTGGTTCCGGCGGCGGAGGAGGCATTGCCATGGAGGAGAGAGGAGGAAGAGATGAAGGATAAGGTGGCCATGGCTATGGCGGAGATGAGAGGTGAGAGTGGACTGGAGTCTCCACTCCTCTACTATAGGATTCGATCTAAAGATTGTGTTTTTGTGAAAGAGAGTGTAATGTGTTAGGTGATAGGTATTTTGGTCTTTTTAGAAACGTTTGTGTGGTTTGGTTGGTTGGTGAGAATTTCATTTCATTTTTGTTGTTAATTATTAGATGGAGCACGTGGATAAGCTATGATTTTAACGATTAAAATTTGAGTTAATACCCAAAATCATCTTCGACTATAGTGGTTTTTCTCAATTTTGTCCTAAATGACTTTGGTGACTTAATGTAGTCCCAGAGTTTTGTGTTTTTACTCAATTTCGTCTCAGACTTTTGTGCTTTTGCTCAATTTAGTCCCCCATTTGTTATTTTGTTCATTTGTTGTTAAATAAATAGACAATTCAGTAATTTTAATATTGACATCTCTTTATTTATAGACATGTGAAGTGCGAAATCCCTCTTTTTTTATGAATTACTCCCAGAATCACTTCTAAAGCTGCGAATATAAAATTTGATTCGTAGGTCTGAGAGTAACTCTGGGTGTAATTCGTGTAAGAAAGAGAGATTTCTCACTTCGCAGCAGGTTGAAAGTAAAGAGAGGTCAATATTGATATTATTGAATTGTCCATTTATTTAACACCAATTTGACGGAATAACAAACGGAGGACTAAATTGAGCGAAACACAAAAGTCTAGGACTATATTAGGTCACCAAAGTCGTTTAGGACGAAATTGAGAAAAACTACTATAGTCGAGGACAATTTTGAATATTAACTCATTAAAATTTATTACACACTAGCTTCCGGCAATTTATATCCTACACCACGGCGCGCGCTGCATTGTGCGCCCAGATGTAAAACGACGTCGTTTCAATTTTTTTTTTTTTTAATTTCCCGCCCCAGTGTTTGGCAGTTAATTTTTCTTTAAAAAAAATCCATGTTCAAAAATGTACATAATGTTATACTAGAATACACATAATTGTATACATGAATATACATAATTATATAACAAAATATGCATACTCTTTTTTAAAAGACATAATACACAATACACATAATCTAACTTTTAACATAATACACATCAACTCTTAACATAAGACACAAAAATTTCTTGATTCGGATGTACATAATTGTATAAAAGAATGTACATAATTGTATAAAAAATATACATAATTGTATGAACAAATATACATAATCACAGCAACTTCCTACCGCGCCTCCCAAAACGATGTCGTTTTGGGAGGGGCGCGGCGCATAGTGCTACGCGCGCCGCGGTGTAGGGTATAACGATTGCTAGGTTCCCCGTACATAGATTAATCCCTAACAGCACGTTTGGTTCACAGAATGAATTTGGAGGGAATAGGAATGCTATTCCACATGGAATGGAATAGGTAAGGAATAAAATATGAATTGTATTCTATTGTTTGGTTGGCTGAAGGAATAGACTTTAGTGAATTGTATTCCAGTGTTTGGTTGGTTAAAGGAATAGAAATGGAATAAGTTTTAAAGACATAAATACCCTTATACATAATAATAATAATAATAATAATAATAATAATAATAATAATAATAGTAATGAATATTGATGGGGTGAGAACCCCGTGGGCTCGGGGCCCAAGAAGAAAAGAGATCAAGCCCAAGAAGAAGAAGAGAAGCCCAAGAGAAAAATGGAGTAAGCCCAAAAGAGATACGAGTCAAACCAATGAGTCGGATCGACCCGGGAGTCGACACGGGTAGAAGGTCGGCCTAAAGTGGCCGTTATCATTTGAAAGACCTATTAAATTACCCTACTCACCCACAAGGCCAAGTGGCCGTTGTCCTCATCACAACCCCATCATTACCAATTAAGTACACATTTACTACCTAACTTAATACCCATAACCCCTTATCCTATTTACTACCTCATCCTAACCCCCAATTTAATACCCTTAATCCCTACTAAATACCCCCCAACGTCTCTAAAGCTCCTTTAGCTATAAAAAGGGGAAGGCAACAAGATCAAAGGGGGGGCCTTGATCATGGAAAAGGCACTATGCCACAACACAAAGCAAATAATACTCCTCCCACTCACTCATTCATCTACATGTGGGGAGGACTCTCCCAAATATTTTCCCAAGGAGACTCCGTATGAGAAGGCTCCAAGCACTCTTCCTACACCACTCTCCCAAGAAGGCTCCATATGAGAAGACTCCACCACCATTCCATCGAGAAGCATACTCCATCTCTCGGTATCATAAATAGCTCTATTCTTACACAATATCTCTATATACAAAATAGTCATACAACATGTACAAAGATATACCTACGAAATACATAGTGGAATTAGGCTTGGCACCGCCCAAAAAGGCCCGTGGTTTTCCTTTCGGTTTCCACGTCAAAATCATCGAGCCCATATTATTTTAGCAAGCTTTATTGAAAGGTGTTTCCTCCAGCTAAAGGTTGTGTTGGACCTCCTTGGGCCCGAAAACCCAAAAACCAACAAATATGATTATGATATACTGAATGTTATATATATATATATATATATATATATATATATATATATATATATATATATATATATATATATATATATATATATATATATATATATATATATATGCATGTGTGTATGTGAGATAGAGAATAATAATAATAATAATAATAATAATTATTATTATTATTATTATTATTATTATTATTATACAAATACATATTTATTTTTATATTTATTTTCTCACTTATCCCACATCGGTTGGATAAGTAAGGAATGGAGCCTTGAGGCTCCTATAAAAGGAACCTCAAGGCTCCATAATTTCAATTGCAATGCTCATCTGCTAGGGAAGCTTGCAATGCCCATTCGCTAGGCAGGCAGATAAGCAGACTACTTAATTTAGGATCCAAGGCTCCATAATTAAGGAGTTTTATACAGTTAAGTTATATATATATATATATATATATATATATATATATATATATATATATATATATATATATATATATATATATAATAAACTGTCAAGGTTGGTGTTTTGAGAAAATATTTTTCGGGTCGGTGTTTTGAGAAAATATTTTTCTTTTCTCAAAAAGTCAATTGCAAATGCTACAAAATGTGTGTGTGTGCCTATATATATATATATATATATATATATATATATATATATATATATATATATATATATATATATATATATATATATATATATTTATATATATATATATATTTATTTATTGATAGATTGATGGATAAAAATTATAATTAATTAAATACATACATTTATATAATACACTATATTTATTAAATAAATATAAATATTATATAATGTGCAAAGGGTATTTCTGGTATTTGTGATATAAAAGCTATTTCCAAGCGCATGGGAATAGTTAATACCAGGGTCCCCCTAGGAATGGCTATTCCCCTTGCGAAGGTAATAGCTCATTCCTAGGCATGCTATTCCCATGACAAAATGATCCAACCAAACGATGGAATAGGTCTATTCCAAGGAATGTTATTCCATTCCTGACCTATTCCATGAACCAAACATGCCATAAAATTATTATCTAAGAACCATTCAAAGAGGTAAATTCTGAATTGTTCTCTTCTTATGTTTTCACCACTTTACTTGTACACTCTGTATATAAGAAATTTTTATCACATAGCAGGACTCGTTTCGTTCGCAAAAAATATTTTAAGAGAAATGAAATTGAAATTCCATGGAAAAACAATTACTAAGAAGATGGATTTCATTGTTTGGTTGGTGGAAAAAGAATTACTCGGAATACTAATTCTATTATTTGGTTAGATTTGGAATTGTAAAGAATAACGAGAATAAAGACTTATATATCCCTACAAATTAATAAGAGTAATATAATTAAGAAATAAAATAAAAGTAAAATAGTCTAACCATATCACTTTTTCTTCCCATTTTCCATGAAAAATAAAATCTTTGGCTCAACCAAAGATTTTGTTTTCCTCAAATTTGAGGATGGAAAATGAATTCCATGAATCAAACACCAAAAAAACAATATTTTCCTCCACTTAAAAAAAAAATATTTTCCTTTAAAAAACATTTTCCATGAACCAAACATCCCGAAGGTTTCCAAATCACTTCAGAGTTTCGTTGGATTCAAATCTCATTGTTCAAAGCAAATTTGTAATGATTGAAATTTATTATTTTATGATAAAATTTTGTTTGAAGCAAATCTACTCCTTAATATGATTGATCTCCTTTTATAACTTATTTTGTTAATATTTTTGGTCAAAATTAATCAATAATATAATTACACATGCTTACAATGAGATTTGAATTTTTAACATTGTATATCTATCTATTTCGTATAGGAATAAGGGTTAAATAGACCACTGAACTACACACGAAACTATAATTAGGCCATCAAATTCTAAAAAACTACAATTAGATCCTTGAACAATACAAAATCAAGCAATTGAACCCAAAGTAACTTGTTTACCTATTTAGTTGATGACATGGCGGTTACTAAATACAAAAAATAATAAATTTTTTAATTTTATTCTAATAAAATAAAATAACCACCCCCAAACATCGGCTTCACCGGAGACGAAGAACGTGTCTTCGTCTCCAGCCTGGAGACGAAAACGTGTCTTCCGATCTCGAAAGGGTGAGCTGGTTTAAGATTCTTCTTCCCGTCAAGAATGGAGGTCAGGCTTATGCTCATCCTGCCGACGCCACTGTTTTCCGATCCCGACACAGTCCTCCCTCAGAAACTCATTGAAGATCCTTGGAAACCCCAAGAACGACGAAATGGGCTTTGTCGGGCTTTGGGTCGGAGAATACGGTACAAATGTCTACTACCGCCATACCCCTGAAACCCAATCAGACGACCTTAATTAACACCCAAAAATTCCCAGGTTTTGTAACAAACAAACACACACACACACACACACACACACACACACACAAAATCTTTATTTATCATAAATGGAGCCTCCATGAACGAGCAAGAAAAACAAAAAAAAAAAAAAAAAAAAAGGGAAGAAGAATATGACGATAAAAAAACTTGCTTTTTCAGTCAGAAATCCCCAGAAAAATATAAAGAAAACGCTGCCAATAGTCCAATACAGTACTAAATTTTGGTAGCT